CCCCAAAACCCCAAAACCCCAAAACCCCTCAGCTTAATATAAATATTGAAAATTCCAAATGGAAGGATCAAAACCTGGTGAGTAATCCCGGTCAGAACCCTCTAAAATCCCTCTATATCTCTTCACATAGGCCCAAAAGGGAGTGTTAAGGGCTGTTCCTGACCTGTTTCTGGATTTTTGAGTTATGGGGAATTTTTGGCATGAATTTTAGGAGTAAATTTGGTTTTAGATGGGGGCTGGGGTAGTTTAGGTGGGGGTTTGGGGAGTAGGGGGTGGAGAGGGGGGTTTTGGGGGATTTTGGAGGAGAGAGGGTAAGGAGAGGGGTTTAGGGGGTTTTAGAGGGTTTTAGGGGGTTTAGAGCGGGATTTAGGGTAGACTTGTTTTTTGGATCATGAAAGTTGAGGAGGAGGGTTTTTAGGGGGAAAGTATTGTTATGGTATTTAGGAATATAAATAAGGGTGGATAGTTTATTTAAGGGGGTAATGAGCAAAGAAAATAGCTTTAATTAAATCAGAAAAGTTATGGTATTGATAAATATTAAAGGCTTACAAAATTAAAGTTTCTCTACATTCTTAACTCTCTTCCATATTCCTCATTTTCTCTAACCTATCCTTCAGACACTCAGACCGCTTCCACAAAGACACTGCAAAAGAACGACTCGATGTCTCTCCACAGCTTGCTTAGTGAAATGACGAATCCTCCTGCTGCAAGTAAGAACTATGAATTTTAGGATATATTGGTGGGCTGCCCAACTAGCCAGAATAGCATTTTAAAGGGATCTTATAGAAAGTTTAAAGGGTTTAAAGAATAGTAAATTGGTACAAATAAGAATTATTTGAAAATTTTGTCGTGAGAAATACCTTATTAATTTTTCTTACATTCCTTCTCTCTGACCTTCTTTCTTCTAATAATAATAAAAATAAAAAGCTGTTTAAATTCAAATCCTTACGCTCTCTTCCCTAACTCATATTCCCATAAATCTTGGTACGCTTTCTTGCTATCACCCTCTTCTAATTTCGCTCCTTCATTTTGTCATTTTTAAAACTCTCCTGAATTGATCACCATAGTCACACATTCATTACCAAATACGATAAAGAAATTAATGAAGAAGGTAAGCCTCTTCCCCAAATGCTCTAATCCCCATAGTCAAAGACAAAATAAGGATATTGATTACTTGGTGACATACTTCTTGGGGAATCTTGACGGTACCCCGAGACACCCTGACGCCCCTCAGCCATGCAAATTCTTCACAGATCTATACTCAGTCAATGGCATTGAACTCATCATGGATGTCTGCAAAGAGCTTAAATACATGAAATCCCAGAAAGGAGACTTTATTATTAAGCAAGATGAAGATGGATATACTTACTATATCGTCCTTGACGGAGCAGTCGAGGTCCTTATCAATGTAGAGAAACCTCTCAAAATGAAGTAAGTCTTCAGATCAAGCTATACTGTTTTCTCGTGAAAGCCATAATTTCGTTAGGACTTTGGATTGAATATAACATGCTATTATGAGTCTCCTTGGCTCGATCACAAAGCTCTATTTCTACCTTTAAACCTTTGTATTGTTCATCATTGGGTTTTAAAAGAAGCTAACTTGTCTTAGTTTATCAGAATTGTTCAAATTTACAGTTGAGCAATATGACCTTATCATTAATGATGAAAAATAAGCAATCAATTCTCAAAGAACTCAAAAGATATTTTCCAAAATATATCTCTGAAGCCTTGACTCCTGAGGGAGAGAAATACGAAATCAGGGATCTAGAGCAGTAAGCCTTATGCATTAATTTCGAGATGTAAGAAATATATCGAGGCCACAAAGTCCTTTCCAGAGTACACTATTAATCTCAAAAATGGTGGAAGAGAGGTCATTAGTAAAGAGTAAGACCTCTTCTAAACTTTAGGTTCCCGATCAAATTTATGAACAAGGTTGCAAATTTACCCTCAGGAGTTGGTTTTGGTGAACTTGCTCTTCTGACAAACAGACCTAGAAGAAATGCATCTATTAGAGCCACTTCTGAATGCCATTTTGCTGTAAGTTTTCAATTAACCTTTAGATCTTGCATAAGAAAGAATTTGATAATACATTGGGGAAAATGAAAAAGAAGGAAATTCAGAAGAAAATAGAGTTCATGAATCAGTTCAGCTTCATAAGCTCTCTTTCGTATGACAGGAAGACAAAATTAGCTTCATTCATGAAGAAATAAAACCTATACTTTTGGTAAAAGCGTCTATCTTGAAGGAGACAAGGATGATAATATTTACTTTATCGAGGAAGGAGATTTCGAGATGACCAAGGATATTTACATCCTCCAAGATTCTAACAAACTTGGCTTCAGAAGGATGGTAATTGATATGCAAAGACCATACCTTGATAAACTTATTAACTTTAAAAACCAAATATTTGTCACAACAGATGAGAATGAGCTTTCTACTCTAAAAAGCCAATACAAAGGGTCAGTCAAAAACACCACAAGGATGTGCTTAATGAGCTCATGCGAGACTTTTGGACTGATAGAACTAATACTCAATGCTCCTTTTAGAATATTCAATATCAAATGTGTGTCAAACACATCAACAGTATATTCAATGTCGAAAGAGGAATTCTTCCGAAGAATCCCTCGAAACACTGACACACTCATTGAAAATTTCACTCAGAAAACAGAATTCTCTGAATATAGGATCAAGAACCAGGCCCAAGTACTTGACTTAGAGATAGATCAAGGCTATTATAACTCTTTTGATGTTATTGTCAACAAAAGTGGTAAAAGATTGCATAACTTTAGATTGCCAGAGTGAAAGCTCAATAAACACTGACTTATCTATGAAATCTTTCCTGACCAACAAATCCTCTAAATCCTTACTTCCAGTTAACATTGATGAAGATAAAAGCGCTCAGGATAAGAGAAAGTCTAGCGCCCGTTCACTTAAGTAAGTAAACACCACTGAAAATATAGAAAGGGAGTATCATATGCTGATATCCGCAAAGCGTAAGTTCTAATATCCAATAATTTGATAGCCAAATGAAAGATAGCTTTGTTGAAGTAAGCTCTTGTTAAGACAAACCTTTAGAGCCAAAGATCCTCTTCAGACGGCCCTGAACTCCAGAAGAGGAAAAGTGTTCAATTCACCATCGATGGTAAATAAATTGTCTAAGAAGTAGATATTAAGAATAAGCGAACATCACTTGAAAGAGGGAAGTCTATTAAATATGTAGAATTCGAGCTTAGCTCAAATGATCTGCAATTTTTGATCCAAAATTATTCCAGCAGCAAGAATAGAACTCAAGGAATCAACAGAAAAGTGAGGTCTGTGCTTAAAAAGAGGGATTCTGATTCTACAAGTTCTAAGGAGGTGCAACTCAACAGCAAGTTTTCACAAAATAACTCACCTAAAAAGAGTAAATTTAAGACCAGGGAGACTATCAAGCGAGAAAGACAGGAAGGACTAAAGTCAGAAGTCTCTTCGTTCTCCAGCATAGCAGCTGAGTCTAACATCGAGTCCAAAAATAGTCAAGGAGAGGTCTTATTGAAGACAGAAAATTCTCAGGAAGGTAATTCTTTTCTATATCTGAATAGAGTCAAAGGGCATAACTCTCAGACAAGATTCTATTCAAGGCTCAGCTAGTAGAATTTTAATGATAACCTCTAGACATGATTGACCCTGAAAACTTTGTGATAAATGTCTTATCAAGTGACCATGCTAGTCCGGCTACAGCAAAACAAACAGAAGTTGAGAAAAGAGTTCTTGATGATTTGTCTGATTCTTCTGAGAGTAGCAAGAGTTCGAAAGATATGATCCTGAGACCAAAGACTAGCCTCGACTTAGCAAAGCCGTATAGGTTTCCAAGAAAATAACTGGGACTCTGAGAAAAATGAACATAAAAGGCACAGTGATAAAATTCCCAACCTTGATATCCCTTTAAATTTTCTCAAAGAAGACTATTTTGAAGAAATCGAAAGAATCCCAGAGTTAACAAATGAAGTTGCTGAAACAAGAATATCTGATGTTGATGAGTACGGGGATATCTTCAGCCCTATCCGTAAAACTTTAATTGAGCTTCCTGAAACTGAACAAGATATTTTGAAGAAGAATAAAGCATTTATTTCGAGAATCAAGGCTGATGATCCCTTGAGATATCAAAATATCTTGAAGTATTACTCCAGACCAAAAATGAACAACTGGTAAATCTTTTTAGAACAAATCTAATTATCTTTGGCGTGCTGAAGCTTTCTGAAAGATGCTAGAATTTGAGGAAGTATAATGAACATTTATAACTTTGTATTATTGATCATATTTTCTTAAGCCGAAATTCTTCTCTTAAATTCATTTTATAGCCCAATTACTAATAAGATAGCTGGGAGATGAATTCGTACACAATCAATGCCTTATCGAAAGGTAAGTGCTTTCCTGTTCTAATTATCAGAATTGTATTCTCAGCATACCCAATAAATTTAAACCTAAGGAAATTAAGAAGCCTCAGAAGTTAGGGAAATATTTTTCCGTAAACAAACTTGCTAATACATGAAAATCACCAATAAAATCAAGGAATATACCAGGGTTTGTGAAGAACTCAAATTTCACACATACTTTGACCATGAGTATGGGTTTGGATAACTTTATAGAAAAATCAAGCCCTGATGCTAACAAGCCCTTTAGTATACCAAATTTCTCAAAGATTGATACTTTAAGTAAGAAGATAGTGGTGATTTGTGTAGATACCAATAGAGAATCAGTATTTAGCCCGCTAATGCTAAATGAGTATCTTCAACATGATGCAAAGTTCTCAAATTCACCAAGAGTAATGCTCAAAGGAACAAAGAGTCAGGATATGTAAGATTTTAATTAAAATTTTAGGAAAAAGAAAAATTTGACAAACTTTCAGATGATTAAGGAAGAGCAAAAGAATAATTTCTTAGCTAAGCTGCAAGCTAATCTTGGTATTTTAATATATCAACAATAGAAACATCACCTCTTAACAAATTTCCTAATCCAAAGCCTCTCAAATAACCCTGTGTTCACCAGACTAAAAAAGCACATCTCCAAAAAAACTAAAACCACACCTAGCAAACAAAATCCAATTCTAACTCTTCAAAAATTCTCTAAATCCCCTAAAACCCACTCCAAAATCAAAAATAGCCCAAAAACGAATTCTAATCCCCTCTTGTCTCCTCATCGCCATATCCAAATCCAGACTCAAAGATCAATTCTCAACGAACACTTTGAAAAACGTGCTAAAATGATTAAAAAGGTCAATCTTACCAATTACACCCGGGAATGAGTACTTTTCCCTCCATTACCCCTCTAGATGATAATAAAGAAGCCAAAACGCCGGAACGGAAGGAACCAGCAAAATGAAGAGAAAGTTCTATCAGTCCAAGAAATTCTACGAACGAATATTTGTAAACGATAATTGGTTAAGGAATTTATATGTTGGGGTTTTGGGGTTTTGGGGTTTTGGGGTTTTGGGG